AATTAACATGTACTATGAGTTCATAGTATTATTAAAAATTGGTATCTTTTTATGGGAACATAAGCAAGCTCTAACATAAGAATTTTTGTAAAATTCTAATGTTTGTACTATAAATGCATAAAAATTCGCAATCTATTCATTAGGATTTATAGGATCAAAAAGAGTGGAAAGAATAGTCACTGTTATAAATTTGAATGTTTCAGTNAATTAACATGTACTATGAGTTCATAGTATTATTAAAAATTGGTATCTTTTTATGGGAACATAAGCAAGCTCTAACATAAGAATTTTTGTAAAATTCTAATGTTTGTACTATAAATGCATAAAAATTCGCAATCTATTCATTAGGATTTATAGGATCAAAAAGAGTGGAAAGAATAGTCACTGTTATAAATTTGAATGTTTCAGTTCCGGTTTCATTGATTACATTAGTTTAATTTTGGTTACATTAATTCAAATTGTTTCAGAATCGTGTTTCGATAGTCAACGTATATTAGTAGTCAACGAATTATTGCATGCATTTCAAATGCATAAAGAAAGTAGTACCTCATTTTCGTCTTCAATTACCGAAGTACTCGTGTCGTCCTTTCCTAATCTTAATGTAGGTGTAACTCGACGTCGCAACGCATTTTGAAAGGCAGATGAGCGATGTGTGTCCGAGTTGTGTTGATGTTCCGAATCTTGAACTTGAGAAGGAGTCGCGGGTGGAGATGTAATCGGCGACATCATGTCTCCGCCAAAATCACTTGCGTGAGGAGACATAGGATCTAAGAAAGAAAATTCAATTGCTACTTTTAAAAGATTGTCATGTCACATCAAATTGCTTCGAAATCGGTGCTTTACGCATTTTGAATGCGTATTTAAATCCACTCAATTCTAATGTTGCAAATTTTAAGTACTAGGAGTAGAGTAGATTACCATTATGACTATAAACATATTTTAGAAGTCTCCTTTCCAAAAATAAATTACATTAAATGCGTAAACACCGTATATATGTATTTTTTCATCTTGATTAGTTTTAAAGCAACAATTAGTTGCAATTACTGAGGCCATTTTATACTTAATAAATATTTCAAGAGTTATAATGACCGGGAGTATTTGCACCACTGTCTGCACGACTATCAGCCCTGCGATTATGACGTATACGTGACTGATGTGGCATATTTATATACGTCATAAAACGTTTATTTTCCTCTCTCTCACTGCGTTCATGCCTCAAAGCAATAGTCTCATCTGACATATCTTCAAACTAAAAAAAGAATTAAATTCTCATAATTTCATTCCTGAATTACCACAAAGTCTTTTATATTAATCTAGATAATCCCTACATTATATGGACTTACATCACTGTCTTGACTAGGCCTGTGCATAACACCATTTTTAATATCCATTTTTGAAGTTTCCTCGCATAACCTCCACCTATATTTTACAGAGAAAAGGATTATATGTTATATGTTATCATACAAATAATTAAATATGTTGAATATATAATTGTAGGACTGTATAACTTACTTTGGTGTCAATATTTCTTTGTATTGTAGTTTTTCGAGCCTAGTTGAAGCAGCTACGCTATACGGTATAACAATATTATCAATATCATACGAATTCTGCCTCAAACGTCTGAAATAAAAAAATATATTGTTGAAAAAATTGCTAAGCTTTTTTTTGATTATTCAATTATACTTGTAAGTTTCTAAGCAATTCAAGAGGTTACTACAATAAAGAAGCAACTCCACTTTTGAGTTATTTTAGTGAATCAACAAACAATTGTCCTGAATGTGAAACTCATACCTTTCTAATTCTTCCCATAAATACAATTTAAATATTGAAACTTTTCCTCTTTATGCTAAAGTACAACAAATACTAAATCATTAAAGAAATTCAAACAGAGAGTGTCTTTGTTGTAATCATTACTATAATGATTATTGTATTTAAAAGTAATAATATTTCATTAAATCTTTTCCTTATTGTATCTCTACAAAGTGCTATGTGTTGAAAAACTATGACACATGTTACTCGGTGCTAATTTCTTTTTACAAGATGTAGAAAGTTTTTTAACGAAACTGCCTCCTTATTGCATTACATTTTACTTACCGGCAGTTTATTAACAAAACTTTTAGCTATTATATTCTATCAAAAGATATTCTTTTATATAATAATCCTAAAAGAAATTATTAGATTATGTTACAAAGTGATTCGATAGTTTACGATTGAAACTGCCATAATTATTTAAAAGCTTATAAAAAATCCTTAGATTCGTATCATATAGAAACTATTAAATAACAGCCAGTAAGTAATGCGTTAATTAATCGTGAATTAATTAAAGATACGAACCCGTGGGAAGTGGAACTCTTTTCTTTAACAGTATTTTTTTCTGTAGAAGTAGTAGTATGGTGCAAAGGTGAAGGCACGGGAGATGAATGCTTACTAGAGCTGGAAAGCGCACTAATATCATCATCATCTTCAGCCGGCAATTTTTGCACCCTCTTTCTGCTTAACCCATGAACACTTCGATCATGGCCAAGCCTACTTCTTTTCCCCTTTAACATTTTTCTCTTGATTCCTGTAAAAAAATTCAACGTGTAAACTAATACAACAAATAAAATGTTTAGATAGAAGTAGGTAGAGCATGACACATACTTGCAGTAAGGATACTTGAAGATGATTTTCTTAATCGAGCAGCGTATTTTGCTCTATGACCTGGAAGTTTTTTATTCCTTCTTTCGTTACCGTCTTTATCCTTCAACCGAGTTATTCGTAAATTTCCTCTTAACATTTTCTGTTGCCATTCCACTGATTTCATGATTGCTTCAAGGTGAGTTCCTTGAGTAATTTCTGAACAGTGCAAATATTTACGTATGTCACACTTATAAGATTATATAAAAAGTGAAGTACTTCAAATATTTAATAAATTTTATTTACCATCAGGAAATGACAACACAGGATGGTAACTAGGATCAACAAGTGCAATCCGTTCTTGTACAGACATCTGTTCGATTGGATCTTGTGGTTGCATCGGATCTAATCTTCCAGTGCACAAAGCACATGGGGGTAATACGTTGTCGCAATTGCATTTTATTGTTGATGCTTTTGCTGCTCGTTTAGAGACTTCGTGTAACCTGTCTACTTGCAACAGTTTTCTTTTCCTATAAAAGCTCCACACGAACGGTCGTGTTCTACTAGCTGGTAGTTCACCTTCTGGTGAATTATAACGTCCTGTAGAACCTGGTAAAACGCCACTATACCCGTTCACCGTTTCAGCGTTATCGAGTATTACTAATCCCTTATTAGCTCTAATATGTCGTTGCAATTCATTATGCTGTCTAATTCTATATTCCAAATCTGATATTTGTGCTTGTAACCATGTCCATCTTGCAGCTACACCTGCGCGATCCTGAGCATACCTCCATGCTGCTCTTTTTGATCTACAAGTAATATTATCAAATATATATGTATATTAGATGAGAAATATTCCAAACGTTTTTTCTAGTAATAATGTTTAATAACAACTCAAAAAATAAGTATATTATGATTTTTATCTTAAATGTTGATACTACTTTCTTATAAAATACAGTAGATGCAATAGACTTCAAAGATATTGTGATTACTATTATCATAAAACACGATTTCTCGTACAATGCATTATACACAGTATTTAATAATTCGACCGGACTATAATTTCGTTTGTTTTGCAAATAGAACAAAATGCTATTCTGAGCAAAGTAATGTTATTGTACAATCATAAAAAATTCAATACTATTCGAAATACGTAACAATTTTTTTGGACGTCTACAATAAATACTTAAACGTCTTAACGTTTCTTAGAACAAAG